TAGCGAAAACAAGCCGGCAGCAACAGTCACTTGTTGGTCGCAAGCACAACACTGGCTTTCTATACATCAGTCACAAGCACTACAGTCGGCGGAGTTTCGTTGGTCTCGCTCGCTATTCTATGAAGACGCACTGCCGGCGGCAGTAACAACCTCGACAGCGGAAATGGTAGCGCCCGAGTGTGGCCGTCGCCGAGAAGTCTACGGTGGAGTTAGTTGACGCCAAGAAGCGAAGCAAGCAATGTGCTCTCACTCGGCCGGCTTTGGTGGCGACGCGCTGGCAGGTCGTCTCGTACTCGTTGATTTTTCGGGTGTATACCTCCGACTGTTCAGGGCTGGTTTTGGCTCCGACCCGAAATTATCAACCGGCTACGAGTAGCGTGGCATAGCCCAGCTGCCTACATATCAAGGTTGACAAACATGGGCGAGAAAAGAAAACGATACATCCCTCGGATGCTGTACTGACGCTGGTCAGACCACCAGTGCTATTACAAGCAGTAAGACTTACGGTAGAAGGTGACTGCCAAGGAACAAGCTGGACTGAAATGCCACATAGAATTATTAAAACGAAAGCTGAGCATCCATTTGCGGAAGTTATTAAACAGGACATAGGTAGGCCGATAAGCTTATTAGGCATTAGCACGGCTCGTTCGTTCGTTCATTGCCTATGCCTTCATCACCAGCGGTGCCAACAGCACGTGCGCTCGTTTGTCGAACACAGCATTAACGCTCCAGCGAAAACATGCCGTAGGTAGAGTTCGATGCCTAGGAAAGATAGTAGAAAGGAAGGCGAGCTGAACAGTCTACGCGGAAAGTTACGTGACCACCGATGCTACGACAGACGAAGGGCAACGAAGCGCTGATGTCACGCGAGTTGCTGACGTCAGCCGCCGCAGGTCAATTTGTCTCACACAAATCTCGTCATTTTCGACCGATGGGCTGTCGCTGCTGGGGTAAACCGGCCGCATGGCCGAACAAAGACCGTTCAAGCAAGAGGACTGCTCGCAATACAACGCCACTAACAATAGTGAGGCAAGAAACAATAACAAAAATCGATGTTAGTTAAATTAACGTACGGAACGTGATTCTGAAATTGTGTGTGTTCGTACTATCGAACGGCAGGCAGAGAGTGGGTGACTTAAAAGCATAGGTGCGCACAAGATAGTACTAAAGAAACGATTTGACAAATACATGGAATGCAGGGGCCCACTTAGGTGACGATTCACTGAATGATTATTCAAAAAAAGATATGAGCTAGTGAGAAACAGAGCAACACGAGAGTTTGGTGAGTAAATGTTTAGCCGAAACAAATAACACTGAACACGTTGATGGTCGGTGCCTTTTCGGGGCAAGGCTATCAAGCTTTTTAAGTCTGATCTGCCTATACAGGTTTACTGAAATGTTATATATTTTGATAAGTGGTTCAGCTTACCGAGCAGAATCGTGAAATGTCTGAAGTCAAAGACTATAAACTAGTTTTCAATGCGGAATTTAGAAAGGGTAAATGGCAAAACTTAACTAGTCGTATCATTGGTTTAATTAATACTGTCCATAAATTTTTTTTGTGATGGCGCCAAATTCGTAAAAGTACGCTGCAGCTTAAATAGCGAATATCAGATCGATATGTCGTATTTACCTCGATTTTATAACAAGTTTTTTAAAGAGTCACTTCTAGCAATCAGGCTGTCAATCTTTCATATGGACATTGAGCTCAAAAAATTTAAGCACAAAACAGCTGTTTTATGCTTAGAACAGAGGTGGCTCAGATTAGTGGAACGTCATCAGACGATCATTCACACACAATTATAGTTTGCATTGCACACAGGTCACAATAATACTAACTAAGGATAACCTAAACGTATCATCAGGTACGGCGGTAGATACCTTTTTACGCGTATGAATATAGACGTAAATAATAACGATCTCTCAATTTTATCTATTGCCATTTTCTTTCTTCTAATGGCTGTCAGCATAGGTAGAACTACGAGGTACCGCTAAGAGGTATAAACACCTTCTATGTATTTGCTCCTCTGTGTTTCTTCTTTCTCGTTCATGAATTCTCCCCAAATTTCCCACGTTGAAATTATGGCTATATATAGGTAAGAAGTTTGAGGCTTTGATTGTATACGGACAAATAACGGGCGAAAAAGGAAGAGATACAGTACGAAATGTCAAAAAAGATTTTGTACAAGTCGCAAACAAGGTAAGGAAAAGAAAAACACTTAAAAAAACAACACTGTAGCAGTAGTGAGATCTTTTTATAGCAATACAATCCTATTCATTTCATCATGGCGGCACACGTCTGATTGAACTTCTTCGAGCGGCAATAGCGATAGTGAGAAGCAAAGCATCAGCAAAGACGAATTATTTCGAAACGGAACCTGAAAAGCTTTGTATGCCCATGCTGCCACTAAATCTGACCCGGCAAGTGCCGTGTCCTTAAGAAAATTGTCAATTCGGATTTACACATTACTATTTAGCAGCTTTTCGTGTTAATCTGCCCTCCGGCTAGCGCTCGAGGACTCACGTTGAGGAAGTTTATCGCTTGCAGTTTGTCAGTCAAAACGCCGGAGTTATAGTGATGATAGAGACGATTTCTACGTAATTTGAACGACTTGTACTTGAGTCAGCCATGCGAAGTAGAAATCTCGCCAAAAATGTTTTTTGTTTGCCGACAAGCCTTTATTATAATAAGGCTTTTTGGCAAACATCCTATTTTCGAGTAGGACAATTCCACCCACCTGAGCCATAGCCTATCGTTACGTGTAATGAGTCTTTGCGCGATTTAGTGAAACAAGTGCGAGGGCTAAAAGAATCGAGACGGCAACTATTCGCTTGCTAAGTAGATGAGTGGGAGTGGATCTCTCTTCAAACTGCGGCTCCGGATGGCGTCGTTCCCTTTACCTTCTGCCGAACGGCACTCGCGTTTCGTATTTGATGATTTGGAAGATTCGGCCAATCGTCTCAAAACGCTTTGTCCTGGTACGTTTCCGGTAGACTCAAAAGCAAATGCTGGCATGGAGGACCGGTTTGCCATTTGCATATCATGCACCTGATGCTCGAGTTCGACCAGAACGGAGCGCAAGGGGAAAATAATGTGTAATGTTTTACCCTTTTCCCAAGAAAAGGTTACCAATAGACCCAGCACGTCCTGATAAGCTCCCTCCCACCCCCTCCCCGAAACAAGAAGTGAAATGCAAAAGTTTGCGACAAGTTTCCTCTGATTTAATCAGACCTGTCGGGTGGGATATGTCGCTAGCATGGCTTGAATTAACGACTCCTCATTTCACTAAATTCGGTTTTTGAAACTATGCAGCGACTGCATACTAAGAGCAAGGTGCTTCGTAGGCGACTCTCTTACACGACGGATCCCGAAGGCGTTTAGCGTATCATAGACTATGAATAAAGACATCACTCAATGGAATAACATTTATTTAACGTAAGTTACAATAACTTAGATTTCATTAGGATGATTCTGACTAGGTTGTGAAACACAAAAAAAACTCCACTCAATTTTGCGCTCATGGATCTAAGGCTATCCGCTACGAATATGGTGGCTTTATATCATGGTATATATTCGTATTATTGTCATATTATTTGTGGTTGGCTGTAATGTGTTTGTTTTTTCCTGGTACATAATATTTACAGTGATCAAACGGCTTTTCAGTTTGAGTAGACTCAGCTCTGGTAGGTTCAGCAGTGTGATGAATGTTATTAATTATAGTTTAATTAATGATCACTCGTAGTGATAATATTTTGTATTTGTACGGTCAATTGTTGTTACCTTCATTATTGTTATTCTGGGTGTTTATCTAGTGTGTTACGAACGTGTCACCTATCTGCTTCGTTAGATCCCACAGGTTGGCCTTTGTCCTCAATCGAATTGGCAAATCTTGTCTAGCTGGTATTCGGGAAGCTTTGACGCGTTGCTGTTCTCCTTCTGTTTTTCTGCTTTGTACAGCAGAATCGTATAGAGTACGGTTAGATAATACGTCATGAAGCCGAATTCATATTGCCTGATCTTTGAGTTTCTGTCTTTTTCGGTTTTCTTTAGTTGTGAAGGTGCCTGGATTCTACACAGAATCATACATTATCTATCGCGACTCAATTTGGTCGCAATTAAATTTACGGTGAAGCTTTCGTCCTTCACTGGTTCTTGGGCTGGTGCCCGTTTTCGGCTTTCCCCATGCTGCCGTGCACATCGAGCAGACATCTTTTCAACTTCTGTCCATCTTCTCCTAGCGGCGACGGTAATCATCCTCAGAATCCGTAGAATAGGAGCGAGCGCGGTAGAAGTTGTACGGGACAGGTCGCTTTCTCGCGCTGATGTCCCGACACGCGTTAAATTGCCACGAGTGCATGACGATGTGGTATAGTTCATCGAATCGTTTAGAAACGACAGGCACAAGAAGTAGGTTTCCGATACAGCGTTTCGCCGACAGCGTCAGCCGCCGACACAAGCGAGTCGCGTGGGCGAAAATCGTTGTCGTGGAATTGTTACGCATTTAGGACAGTTGCAACGAAAGAGATTAGGACAACAACAAAGAACTAGTAGTAAAAGTTAGTAGCCATGATAAGTAAGCATGCAGGAGAGAAATGATCAACATAGATGTCAGTTAAGTTATCCTGATGCCACTCTCTTGCCCTCTGCGAATAGGCAAGGTACAGACGTTAAATTTTTATTATTATTATTATTAAAAAAAAAATAAAAGACATATTCGTGTCAATTTATCTCGTAGTTATCTAATCTAATGTGCGCATCTTCGCAGAAACTGAGGTCGTATTCGCGTGCATTACGAAAAATCATACTAGAATTGAAAAGTTGAACAGAACTTACCGGTAGCGTCACTAAACAAAGGTAACTGAATTTTCCGAACGTAGCGCAAGGGCAATTCGATCAACGTATCATTAAACTGAATATCAAACAACACACACTTAACGTAGTGGTACAAAAATAGTAAGTTTGCTTTTTTTTTTTGTTTTTTTAAATGAAAAATAACGCATTCCAGGAAAAACGTGACCAATTTATTTATCATGCGTGGTTAAATATGTTATGCTTATTAACAGACATACGTCCATCATAGGGTCGTGCAAATGACTTGATCCGCATCGGCCCGTACCGTAGCCGCAACTGGATTGTACTAGAGATCGTATGGAAATATTGCACTGGCCATCGATACCTTTGGCCCGTTGAGTTGCACTTATAGATTATACAACATAAATGTCCTTTTCGTACTTGAAATATTGAAATGGGTAGAAAAACTTCATGCAGATAGAAGAAGCATAACTTGTTTGGCATTAGTTGATTTAGGCTGTGCTGACCAGCAACTGGAATGAAGATTCTCATGCTTGCAGTAGTAGATAGTGAAGAGAAGCTTGTTTGGTGAAACAATGAGCTAATTAAGTTGAGCCAAACAATGTTCACGTTTTAATTTTCGATGGACACGAAAGACTGTTTTCTATTGCACTTGTGCTGAAAGACACCCGACGTTCCCCTCGATTAGAAACAAACAGCTGCATTTACTTTACAGCGGTGAATTAGCTGTACTTGTAGAAGTCTAGCATAGACTTCTTTGGATAGATCCGACTAGACTTTGTTTATGGGCTTGCTCGTTGGAGGGGAGACTAATAACCGGAACTGGTACTTGACGACGAGCTGTGCCTTCGCCGACGCCTACGACTGCGTGAGCTGCTCTCGTTCGATCTAGTCGAAGTCGAGCTCCATGACCTTGTTAGAGATTTGGACGATCTCGAGTAACGAGAGTCCCACGAACTGCTTTGGCGGCGACGCTTTCTCCAGGAGGGCCCATCAGGCGCCCTATACAAGCGGAAACAGATGCCATGCAAACTCAGGATCAAGGCAAAACTATGGCTCTAATTAATAGAACGACATTCTCAAATGAAACAGTACTTAATAATATGACCCGTCATCGTATGATGACATTCAAGCATTCAAGCAAACCCGTTCGTAGCATAAACTAAACAATAACAAATTGGTGCAAATGACGACTGCTTGATAAGAAGATGAGTATACGATATATGACATATTATAATATCAGCTACGCTTTCTAAATTGTACCAACTGAAAAGAATGACTTCGGGTATTCTTTCGGGTACAAACCTCGTAATCCGACGTTTGTCAAGGAAGCTAGGCGAACCAGCCCTCCTAGGAATAGATGGACTCCGGCTTCGCGACCTAGACCGAGTGTATGAGCGACTTCTACAAAATCAAAAAAATAATAGCTTTTGCCGGTCATTCATGGTCCGCGGAAAATTGCTAGGATAGTTCATATTGTCTTGGCAAAAGGTTAGAATGCAACGGCGAACCTGTATATCATCCACACTTCGATGGGAGTACAAGCGTAATAACGCGGATCCATATAAGTCTCTGAGGTATGTGATAATAGAGTCATTTCATAACTTGCCTTGACCTGCTGGAATATCGCCGACTCCTGCTCCGCGAACGTGACGAGTAGCTTGATCTTGAGTATGATCTTGACCTTCCTCGGGAGCCCGGTCGTCTTGATGTGGAACGACGTCCCGATCCTGACCTCGACCGTCTCGAACGAGCGCTGCCTGAGCGGCTTCGAGAGCGACTATGACTGCGGCTTCTACCGCCGCCAGATCGTTCTCGGGATCGAGATCTTGACAAGGAATGCGCCGATCGGGACTTGGAAAGGCTGTTCGAACGGCTGCGGTAGGCTGCTGGCAATGCGTCGCTCTTTTCCCACTTGCTCAACTCGGGCTCTTTGCAAGAAGTCGTAGAGTTCATGAAATGTACTCCGACACCGTTGACTCCGGCTATACCATCGCCTCCAGCACAAGTACTTGTGCGACTCCGCGAATTCGATCGGCTACGGCTGTGCGACCCAGTTCGTCCAGTCGGTGGCGATCGGCTGCCATTGCGCAAATCACTTCTTCCGTTACTTGTTCCACTGACATTGCTCGAGGGTGTATCCGGCGACGTGACCTTTTTGCTAGCGAGAAGCTTCCGTATCTTTGCACAGTCAGGAGAGGAACTTGACTGGCGTGATAGCGACATTCGATGATGCGTTGATGGTAAAGAGCGGCCCTTTGAAGGTCCTGCCGGCTGATCAGTTTCCGTCCTCACAGCGGCGTCCGTCGTAAGAGCGAAATTTTTTTTCGCCGTTGGCTGGATTCGCAGCGATTTTGGAAAATCGTTATTCAGTAATCGTTCCTCTGCATCTAAAGAGTCGGAATGTTGGTTAGCAAACACCAGCTTTTCGCACGCCACTGACCTAGGACTGCCTTTAATGGCTATCGATCCGGATTGTTCGGGAACTTCCTGGATTTGTTTCGAAGCGCTGACTTCGTTTCCATTGGGTGTTTTTGCTTTGATTGCTTTGCTACTGCTGCCAGTTCCTGTAAGATCAGCTTCCGGCTTGTGGGTCTCGTCTTCGTCAAGCCATCGGCCCGGAACGACCTTCTTGCTAGGCAGTTTCATCAACAGCTCGACATGATTCTTGTCGGAAGCTCGATAATCGATAGCCTTTTCCTCAGTAGGCTCTTCATCGCATAGTGGGCTAAACGATAGTTTACTAGCCCCTGAAGCAAATTTTTGCTCTGGTACGTTTTTGTCGGAATGGCAAACTTCATCGCCACGGGGTTTTCTCGATTCATCTAGAAAAATCGGCACTATAATTAGACAAAAGATGATTTTACAATATTGTGACTATACTACATGAAGCCTGAACACGCGACAGCTTTGGCCGCCGCTGACGACTTTGCTAACGTTAATAATTTCGTCACGCTCACCTCTTCGGCTCTTGTCGTTGCTACGACTCTTGTGACGCTGTTGTAGATGTTTACTATCGGTTTGCCTGTCGTCATCGTCGGCCCGATTTCCTTTGCTTCTCTCCTTGCTGTGATGGTGATGATGCCGTTTTCTTCGTTCATCGCCACTGTACGAGCTCTCTCGCCGAGATTTCTTCTTGCCCTGCATTAGGTCTTGCTGTTAGCCAGCTTTGTCAATGCAGCTAAGTACAATTGCTTCGGCCAGGCAGGCGGTTGTATTACTATCATTAATTCCAATTCAACGACAAGGATTCGTCTATTTAACAGCATTAGCAATGAAAACGACGGCAGGTGCCGGTAAACGGAATGAGGACATCAGTAGCATTAGAGGACAGCAAAGGTCTGTATACATCGACAGATTCATGTGTCTTTGATGATCTGATTCGGTCCATGGAATAGCGCGTTTTTCGCAAAAAGTACACTTTCATCTGGTAATCATGAGTGTTTCCATATTTTTATACTATGATAATTATGTATGTGATAATGACAGAAGCCAATTATTCATAGTAGTAGTATAAGGGGTGGTGCAAGAAACTACAAGTTGTGTCTGCAATCGCGAGCGAGGTTTACTTACTGAATTTTACCAATCTCAGAGCTCCTAAGAAAGGCATTCTAAGATTCGATAACACCATTAGTTCATTTACCAGACAGAATAATTTCATAGTAATAATCATTATTACTTGTATATCTTGTAATATCATCTCTCTCAAATAATCTGTAGTTACCTAATTATCTAATACCGTTATATTTACGACAGTTTCACACATCGCGCACACCGGCCAATTTTGGACAACGGATTAGCACCACACAAACAAACACACACACAAATAGACATTTGTTTTTACGGCATTATTGTTCGGCAACGGTAGCATATATCAGAAGCGATATCCGCCCACTGACAAACGCCAGTTGTTATTTATGATGAATGGGGCAATTATCAGAAAAGTGATCCTTGAGAGACGCATGCATTTTTACGATGGAAACAATATCTTCTAAACAAAGCGCCGAATTCTTAGCCGACTCAATGTGGGGCAAAGTCATGCTAGATCCGTATGTTATGGCGCAAAAATATAAGGTACTGATGGCGTAGCCATGCCTCACTTCTCAGCAAGCCATAAATGGTATCTGACTGTAACTATATATGGGAAAACAACACTTCTACACATCATGGTTAGATTGTTAAGTAATACTGTTACAGCTGCTGGCAATACGTGGTGCCACACGAATTCGCAGCTCATTGGGCCAGTTATATATTCTTTGCTTTTTGTTTGGATTTAAAATTTGGATAAATAGTTACCATACTGTTATTTTATTATAAGATTAGATTATGAATGGATATTGATGGATTTGGACAACTTACACGGGAGATTCAGTGGCGCTTTCTATTCCAGCGAGAGAAGAAAATTGAAAAAGGGACGAAAAAATATTTTCTGTTATTATACTTCACTGACTGGCATGATATCACCGAAAAATGCTAAATAGAGTTATCTATATGTATCTACTGTTTATAGTAATCCTATACTAAGGACTTTAATAGACGTGAATGAAACTCTTATACCCACAAAAATAGCCAACATTTCAATGGCAAAAAAAAAAACAAAGAAAAACAGCACGATTTTCTTGCATAATTGTAATATTTGTCTGCCTGTTAATTTTTATCGCTCCCCTACGTATAAAAAATTACACCTTTTTAGTTGATAAACAAGTGTAACCACTAGAATAATAAACAATTGCAAAAAGAAACGCAGTCGCTGAGGCAGCATGCAAGCCAATAGAAAGTTACTGTGAATTCATCGTTTCACATAGAATTTCGTTTGAAATTATACATATCGTTTTTACCAGAAAAAAAAGGTGTAACAAGGACAGACAGAAACAATTATAGATTTTATCACTGTATATATAATCTACGAAGCATGGTCGTAGAAAATATTGCACGGTTTTTGGATGTTATTTAATTTGCGAACGCTTATATGATGTACCTTGTGTTTGTCCTTCTTTCTCTTCTTACTGCGACGCGATTTTTTGCGGACGCCATGGTCAGAGCTGTAAGACGTTACCAAAGTCACGGGTTAGCATTGTCTCGTATCCAGTGGTAAGACGCCGGGAAAGATTCTAAGAACTATGAGGCAAAACGCTTGCGGACACAGCTACCTCATATCACTATGGCCTACTCAAAAAGTGGGCAGCCGAACGCACCAACAGATAGCAAGATCAAAGACTATACTATATATATATTCAAATACTACAAGTTACGTATCAGTGCCAGTCCTTCTACCTAACTACGAAGCCTCTACTTACCGGTGTCATCGATTCTAAAAGGGAGACAAAATTTTATCATCACATCAAATTGAAATGTTTCTTGATGTGTTCCAACATACAACAGGAACAATAACTTAGCGCACGATAACTACCTATCTATCTGTAACTTGAGGATATTTTAATCTCAATAGTCGTATAGTCTGATTTAATATTGAATACGTACGTCGAGGCGGACAGTGGAAACTTACCTGTGCTCTGAATTTTCGGCCTCACTATCTGAAGAAGAAGAGCCTGAAGAACAACTTCGAGATCGACGCAACCGTTTTTTACTAGAAAATGGAGGCCGCAAAAAAACGATCCCACAAAACTATTGGAGGCCATCCAGATATATTCGCCTTTAAATCAGCAGATCCTTAGACGATCAATGGCTTAACTTAAACAGTCAACTTCGACTGTTTGATCGATTTATTTTTTATAAACGAGCTCTGCGTATATCATAGCAACAGTACTAGCAGTGATTTAACAAATACGGCTGAGCCTTTAAGGCTAACTTAGAACTATTCCGATAATCAATAAAAAATGCTTGTTTCACTCGTGATCAGGGTAGAAGTAACAAGTTCTATTCAAATTCTGAAGCTAAATGGGGGACTAATTTTAAAATTTGCCGTTCAAGGCGCAAAATATATGCTACTTCTGCTGCCGCTTACCATTTTTTCTCTTTTCGCCGTTGCTCGTCGGCGCTACCTGAATACGATCTTCGCTTTTTGGCTAATGGCGATCGAGCTTTGTGGTTGTTGGCCGATTCGTCGTGGCGACTTAATCGACCCCTTAAACGCACCGTAAGTTCATAGTCAGACATATAGATGCGTAGTAGAACTAAGTTGAATAATTTTACGTATCATTACCAGCCCATGAAGAATCTATAATACAACGACGTTTAAAGGAAACAACTACATTGCATATTTGTGGTCGGCGTGAGTCGGAAATTGGGAACTAATTCTTCCTTCGTATGAACGCCACAAAATTAAGGAGGCCAGCTTGTACTCTGTAACAGTTTGACCTAATAACATAAACAAGGAGCAGGAGAACCATTTGTATAAGTCTAGTTCAGCTAATTACTATCAGATAATTGAGCCGTGTGAAAACAGTCAGTCAAGCGCGTACCAATGTTGGGAAAACTTTGCCATTGAATAAATGACGCCAAACAGTGCTTCGTTTCGTTGAAACTTTGCAATTAACATCTTTAATAGTCAGTGTCTGTAAGCTCACCTTTTATCAGGACGTTCGATAGGCTCGGTCTCCAGGAACACATTCCGTGTAGAATGTCCTTTTTCTTTTACCACCCTTCTAATTACTGGATCTCGAACGCTGCAATGGCGCAAAAAAGTTCAACATAAATTCTTGTTATTATAAACTAGTTAGCAGTAGATAGATGGAACGGATTTGGGGGGTACACAGCAAACCGAAAGAAGAATCGTCGTGTGCGAAAAAACTAGATTTAGTCAGATTGCTTGCAGGAAGCTGCGTTCGCACTAGATATAGACTGATGTACTTGCATAGGAGAGCTGGCATAAAATGATCAATTCAATTATAGTTCATATTGCTAGATGATTAGTACGAAGTGTTGCAACACGTTAAATCATGTAGTAGCTCTAATATGTTTGATTATATTGTTTTTATAGTTTAGAAACATATAGGATGACGAACAGTGGGTATTTGCGCCGTTACACACCTTCAAAAAGGCCCTGTGCCGCCTATACGAGAACTTTCACGTTAAACAATATTCAAATTATAGATAATCTTCAAAATTGTAAAATCAGGTTTTGGATAAATAGAGCATAGTCTTTGGACACTTCCGGAATGGCTGGCCAGTCATATCTGATTTTGGGGCAGGAATTGATTCGTGTGAAGCGGTACCGAAGTATTTGACTAGTTATAATATATGTCTAATTATAATGCGCTCTGATCGGAACACAAAACAAACCCTGTCGAACATCAATTAGCCCAGATGAAATACAGCCATTCAGCTTTAACTGAATATATCGAAATTTCAACGACTCGGATACAATTCAGTTGCGGATTGATGTTCGTCCGCTTATTTGGATGGCTTCAGAACACCTAATCACTGTACCAAAGGCTACTCGAAAAAAAGGCTAGCCATTATAAGCCTATCATATTGCCCAGTGGATATGTTTTGCCGTGTAGTACATTAATATATTAGCCGTTATTGAGGCAAATGGCTAGGGCAGTGTAGACATTTTGCAATATTCAAATACATCATACACAAGCCAAAGAACAGTCGACATATGACAAAAGAGACACTGCAAAACTACAGGATCATATATATATGATTATAGAACGTCGCCCGTAATACGCCGCGTCGACGGCATAATCATGTTTTGTCCTACTGACGTTGGTGTCGCTATACCCGCTAAACAACTGTTTAAATTATTTAGCGAGCTGTTAACCCGGCTCCATATCTAATCGTACGCCGAATCTCAAAATAGAGCCGTCAGAATGGACGAGCGACGTCGAAAGAGACGGAATTGTTCCTGCCGTTGTCGAGTGGTCTGTTCCAATACGCGCCACCTATCGACGCGAACTCTAGATAGAACCACACGCTTTTCGGAGCGCTCTGAACGCTCCACATCGTTTTGTAAACCAACATTCACAGGCGCCCTCTTGTACAGAGCGCAATTTTACGCCCTTATCATGTGGCCTCGATTACGATACGAATATATATATATATATATATATATATGCAATAGCTCCCGTGACCACAACGATAGAGGTACAATCAACTACTTCCACTGTCACATTTTTAATAACACTTCTTTAATCGCGACCCACTGCGACCAGGTTCATTGACGAACACTCGCAAGACGCACAACAATTTTCTACAAATTAAATATTCTAATTCATTACTAGGACAGCAATAGCAACAGCATCAACGTCAGAGAAGGCACGGACGTCAACAGGGCAAGCAGGAGGGATTCGAATTGATGGGAATCCCGAATAAAAGCCGGATCGGCGTGATCTTCAGTAAAATCTTATTGTGGAGATGAAGAAGAAGAAGAGGGGCAATATAATAATCGCAGATTTTCTTTTTACAGCACCAAAAATTTGTATTGCATCTAGTTTTGTGCCTACTTCTGCCATTTACAAATTAGCGATTTCTGGAGGACGGGCCATAGTTCAATCACTGATTGACTGATCGACGAATTGGTCAAACGGTGATTATTTACATACATTGCTGCGCCTTCAAAACATTTATTTTCAGTTGAAAGATTCGATTCGGGCCCTTAGCTAGACTCGATATTTCGATGCTTTTTTAGCTGTATATTCCTCTATGCTGTGCGATTGCTCACCAGGTACCGAACGAGACGTCAATGTCGACCAAGGTGTTCATGTTGAGTCCGTGACTGGAACTGCTTCGCTGGTATCGTGTTTTTACGGCCCTCGTACTTTGATTTTGGCACGACACTTCCGACTAGAACTATGATGTTTTTACCGGGGCATTGCCTCTGTTGCTACAGCTGCAATGCACGACAAGATACTGATGATAGTCCACATCAGCGGGAGGTACACGCTCAAAAAGCGCACAGACCATGTAACGCCCACGCAATAATTTTTCTTACATATATGATATTATATTCCAAGTAATAAATACACTCGGTATGGTAGACAGTCGAAGGAGGAGGAGGAGGAGGAGGAGGACAAGGTTTCACGAGGTTGAAGAATGCGACTTGATACGCTGCTGCGATGATCTAACAAACCATTTAGAGGCCTTTTCGGATTTGCGAAGAACACAGCGGTAGAGAACACGGTGCTCCATCGCACTGTGCTGCCCTCCAGCGTTTAGCGTTAATCCTTCTGCTGTGGCGCTCGTTGCTAATGGCCAAAACTAGTCGCGATGTCTCACGTCTCCGAGCTCTATTTTAGTCGCTCTGGCGGAGCGGTCCGCTTTTGACTTAACGACATCTACATACTCATCTCTATCGTCTCTGTTTTTCGTTCTATGTTGTTGAAATGGTCAGCACCAAAAGCACCGTTCACACACGCTCTTCTGTGTAAACAGGATACGGCACTGTTAACGATACTGCAGCCGTTCAACCAATTCTGCTATATCTCACGCGCTAGTTTGATTAAATTAACTTTATCATGCCAGCTGCAACGGAAGCAAGCATCACGATTATCATTATACCAGATCGTATGGTAGTCATCGTGTATGGACCAGGAGAGGTGGGTAAATGGCTGAACAAAGGACAAATATTGCCATCATTGGCAGCAGCAGCAACAACAACAGTTGCTGGCCGACTGAGCCTCCGAAGCAGCAGTAGCAAAAGTCACGCAAAAAAACTGCCGGTGTTTCAACGGAAACGGCACCTTTATTTTTACAGATGAATCTACACACACAGCTTGCAGTCTATGGGCCGGGTGGCTTGATGGGTGGCTTAAGCCACTCGTCGGCTAGCGCCTTTGAAACAGGCTTTCAGTGAGCAATGGCACCACATAAGCCACAGTGAGTGAACTGTGGCCGCTACGACGCTGCCTGTTGTAACTCGTAGCCTGATAGTGCCTATTGTAGGCGATGACTGCTGCTGCTGCTGCTGCTGCCGCCGCCGCCGCCGCCGCCGCCGCCGCCGCCGCTGCTGCTGCTGCTGCTTCTGTTCGCTCGTGGTTGCGAGAGAGCGTCAGGGGAGAGGTACTAACTGTCGACCTACTACCACTAGCAGCATCAGCAGCACACAGCCAGACGCAGCGCGCACGATGAACATAGTATTATACTATGCGTATCCGGAGCTGTGCAGACGACGAGTCTCGGATGGATGGGAGGCGAGTACACCCGTACAACAGCCATCGCCGCCGCAACAGCAGAGAAAAGAGGGAAGTATATAGACGGATGATTATTGCGTTGATCTTGGTCCGTGAGCCAGTTGGGAAGTCGCGCATCGTAGCTAGTGGCTCAGTTTTCAATGCACATTGTAAGCAGCAGTGGTCTAGCAGCCGACGAAGGTGAGCGAGAGGTCGTACCTCGGTCGCCGCTGAAAACTCGAACGGCCTCCGGGGAGCCTCGAAAATCTAGGGGAGAGGGGGACAACGAAGAGTGAGAGAAAACACAGGACGAACTTCAACATGACATCTATGAAATTGTACAGAAGAGATTTGGAGCCGCGTAAACAGGACGAGGCCGAACAACTTTACGTCGCAGTTTCGCAGCACGACGAGGTTCATCCGATATCGTCGAGGTTCTTTTTTACGGTTTAGAGAAAAGAAATCGGACTGAAGGACGACGTCAGCAGGGAGGTAGAACTTTAGGAGAGAAATGTCCGAGCTGGCGATGCTACTCCGAAAAGCAGCCCGCCACAATTCTTAGTCCTATTCATCTCGAAGCGTGAGCGGTACAAAATTTGAGCTCATAGTGAAAAATCTAGCCAATTAGAGTTGACAGCGAAGCTAGGATACCAGGACTGTGTTGTACCATCGGTAAGGTGCAAACTTGCTCGAACTAGCGTGCAAGTCGTTACAAGTAAATAATAGTGTACCTTTATATCGTTTAGATATAGTGGTGTTGACTAGTACTTAACAAGCAATTAACATTTATAGCTTAACAGCATGTCTAACAATAAAACTGCATAGCAGAGTAAATGTACGGTGCAATTTTTTTCTTCCGACAAGATTCATCCCTCAGAGGGTTCGGAAGAGTGACGTCGGCTGGCATAGGTGGCGCCACATATTACGATAAACCCGAAGCGTACCTGAATTTGCGTGACACCGATTTGGTACGGATTAAGTAAATCGTCGTTTTATTTTTTAAGTAGACACTGTCTACAATAATAAACAAATTATATAATAGCCAAGCTTCTTTGTAGCCCTCTACAGCGGTGAGGTTTTGACGGTGAAGAAGGTAGAGATTTGAAATATAGTTTTGCTTTACATTATATGTCGGAGATTCGCAAACGCAATGAACACTTGCAACACTCGCATTGGGTGTCTCTTACGCGGTAATATGGGTCGAGAATTAAAGTTTACCAGAATTTCCTTCTTATATTGTCACCCTATGGCTAATATAGTTACAGGGTTTTTTAACACATACCAAAGTTTAGGATGCCATTTGCCCTGCTGATATGAGATATGGATAGAGATATCAGGACAGGTGACTTCGGCGCGCTGTCAGGGTTCTTTTGTTGCTAACCGTAGTGGGTATCGTTTATTGAGTGTCGCGGAAAAACGTTATGATTTTAGGCGTGAACAGCATGCGGCCTATATTTTGTGCTGAAACAGTATCTCAACAGAATGTTAAAGGATGTTCTAAGAAAGAGCAAAAAAAAAACATTTTCCAATAGCAACATTACATATATTGTACA